CTGGATAAGAGCGTCTGCCAAATGACTAAAATGTAGGAATCCCATTGGACAATGAATGGAGAAACGTATAACGGCCCCACCCAGCAGACTGTCGACCAATCGCGTTCAGGTTGTCATCCTGTGTCACGCGGTTGCTAAGCTAATCATCACGCAATCCTTTTTCAAAGTCAGGTTATGAGTCGATAAACCTGCCTATTTTCCTTGAAAGTACGTTGTCACGATTCCAAAGCTATACGATATTACAGACAAAAAGTTAATTATCTGTAATGTTGTAGTTCTTGTTCACAAAATTCATGCTAATGTTGAGTTTTTGAGCTAGCGCCCAATTGACTCCCATTCACTCCTTGAAGGAGTGCCCTACTTGTCCCAGAATCGCCCAGAATGCACCATTGACGACGCAAGGCAACGTACACAATAGGCGTTAATACGATTCCAATGGAGTTTTCCATCTCCTCAAAAGTATCTCCGATATCGAAGTAACAACAAGGAGAAAAGTCCATCACAAGAGACAAACCTGGGAGAAAACCATCATATTATAAATACATAGAGATGCAAAACATTATTGTCTGTGACTGACAATCCGTCCCTTCATTTGAGTGTCATTTTCATGGCACAAACCTTATTGGTACAGTAGGCCCTACTCTAGTTATGACTGCTCCATAATTTTTTGATGTTATTGTCTTTTAATGCTTCATTAGTCGTGCCGCATATCTTTTTGCTAAACCTTCAGACTGCTGCTCATCAGTTGATACCAGCCTGTTCTCTCAGTGTCCAGAGGATGGCACTAGATCTCTTTATTAGACATGCTGACAAATCTCAACAACATTATAACAAATGCCGGATTAATCTCAATAGGGGGAATTCCATGGTAACGGAATTACGCTGAGACTCAGTTTTCACTTTAAAATATATAGCAAACAAAAACCATTGATTTCAAAGTTGAACAAACCATACACCTCAATTCACAATGATTACTGTTAACAATTTCCACAGAAAATTGTACAAAAACACATTTACAGGAAGAACTTACAGGGAGAGTGGGGTCAATTGAGCCAAAGGGGTAAATTGTTTCTAGGAAACATGCATAAAATTAATCATTTTACCAAATAATTAGGAAGAGGTCATCATTTCATTGAGCCTGAGAAGGAGTTAAAGTAGACCATTTTAATATTGTTCTATACATCAGTTGGGGTCTCTATAAGCTTCAATATGAGGTCCTAAACCTAGCATGAAAGTGCTTCCTTGTAGCTGTGTGGGCTAATATAGTAAAATGTTTGCCTTGGGGTAAGTTGAGCCAATGGCAATGGGGTAAGTTGAGCAAGTTGAGCAAATTGAAGTGTTTCTTCCCAGGCACAATGCAAGGCATTATCGCTGGGAAATGAGGTAACAACAGACCTGCTCCAGAGCGCTCAGGACCTCAGACTGGGGTGAAGGTTCACCTTCCAACAGGACAACGACCCTAGTCACACAGCCAACACAACGCAGGAGTAGCTTCGGGACAAGTTTCTGAATGTCCTTGAGTGGCCCAGCCAGAGCCCAGACTTGAACCCAATCGAACATCTTTGGAGAGACCTGAAAATAGCTGTGCAGCAACGCTCCCCATCCAACCTGACAGAGCTTGAGAGGATCTGCAGAGAAGAATGGGAGAAACTCCACAAATACAGGTGTGCCAAGCTTGTAGCTTCATACCCAAGAAGAATCGAGGCTGTAATCGCTTCCAAAGGTGCTTCAACAAAGTGCTGAGTAAAGGGTCTGAATACTTATGTAAATGTGATATTTAAGTTTTTTTAATATGCAATCTTTTCTGATTTGTCATTATGGGATATTTTGTGTAGATTGATGAGGGGAAAAAATAATTTAATCAATTTTAGAATAAGGCTGTAACATAACAGAATTTTGAAAAAGTCAAGGGGTCTGAATACTTTCCGAATGCACTGTACATATAGGTAGGGGTAAAGTGACTAGGTAAAAGTCAGAGTGAGTGTGTGTAGAAATTCCGGGTAGCCATTTGATTAGCTATTTAGCAGTCTTGTTTAGAAGTCTTATGGCTTGGGGGTAGAAGCTGTTCAGGGTCCTGTTGGTTCCAGACGTGGCGCACTGGTACTGCTTGCTGTGCAGTAGCAGAGAGAACAGTCTATGGCTTGGGTGGCTGGAATCTTTGAGAACGTTTGGGGCATTCCTCTGACACTAGCATGGGTCATCAAAATTGTTAAAAGGTTTGAAAAACCATTCTAATGAATGCAACAGTTGGACAATGGAGAAGATCATCCAAACGTTTAGATTTTTTTGGTCCTTCAGCTATTGACTGAATTATAGCAAATTAAACATTTTACTGGCACTGACAATTAATGGAGTTCAGGGATTTTGGTGGAAATTCCAGCATTCAATTTATTGTTAAAGAAAAATCAGGTATTTTGTAAATATTTTGTGTTAAAATAAAGACAGTTATGTGCCTACTATAAATACATACTGTACCAGTCAAAAGTTTGGACACACCTACTCATTCAATGGTTTTTCTTTATTTTATTGTGTAAGGGCTATTTGACCAAGAAGGAGAGTGATGGAGTGGTGCATCAGATGACCTGGCCTCCACAATCACCCGACCTCAACCCAATTGAGATGGTTTGGGATGAGTTGGATCGCAGAGTGAAGGAAAAGCATCCAACAAGTGCTCAACTCCTTCAGGTGTGGAAACTCCTTCAAGACTGTTGGAAAAGCATTCCAGGTGTTGCTGGTTGAGATAATGCCAAGAGTGTGCAAAGCTGTCATCAAGGCAAAGGGTGGCTACTTTGAAGAATCAGAAATGTAAAATATATTTTGAATTGTTTAACACTTTTTTGGTTACTACATGATTCCAAATGTGTTCTTTCATAGTTTTGATGTCTTCACTATTATTCTACAATGTAGAAAATAGTAAAAAATAAAGAGAAACCCTTGAATGAGTAGGTGTGTCCAAACTTTTGACTGGTACTGTACTTATTTGCATATATTAATAAATAAAGGTGTGGAACAGGGCTGCAACCACCAAAAACTTGCTCGGTCATGACCTACCTGCAGTCACCTGCACTGTCTAGACTGTCTCATTAATTACTGTGGTTGTCATGTTCTTCATAATTCAACAAGTGTGTCAATAGCAGGATAGTCTCGGATTAAAAATCAACAGGCTTGGTTCTAGATTACACCTTTATACATACTTTACATTGTTTGTGAGATCAGACATATCCCTATAGTTACTTATAGATAGCTGCAAAAAAGACACCGCCTGGTATTGAGGTCCTGGATGGCAGGGATCTTGGCCCCATACTCACCACCCTCTGTAGCACCTTGCAGTCGGGTGCCTTGCAGTCGCCGTACCCAGTGGTAATGCAGCTAGTCAAGATGCTCTCGATGGTGCAGCTGAATAACTTTTTGAGGAACTTTAAAATTGAATTTGATCCGGGGTAAATTCTGCCAAGGGACCACTTTTTTTGGACAAGCTATGTTTTCAAAACTTTAATGTTTACATGAATTCTGATTATTTCCAGAGATACAAAACATCCTGCAATATATGCAGATATCTTTGTTAGAAAGAATACTATGTTTCTGTTGACCGAGTGATGCTGAATGTAAAAAAATGCTCAACTTACCACACTCTTCCCTGTAATGTTTTTAAATACTGTGTACATTTTTCAAAGTATTCATTGTCCATTAGAATTGTATGATTTGTTAAACTTTGAAATCAATGTTTTTTGTTTGGCATACATTTGAAAGTGAAAAATCGGAGTCTCTGTCACCGTGGAATTGCCCACAGCGCACCCGTAATGCACCATTTCAAATTGACCAGAAAATTGGCACGATGGTTCTTTCTACTGAATGGTCTGACGACAATAGTTCCACTTTTTTCTTTCACTTAGAGTTTGACACAATAAGTGAGTGAGAAATTGTCCATGTCTTGATGGAAATGAGGTTTGACTATTTTGAGTCGGGATGAGGTCTGAAATAAATCATTGTACCAAGGCACAGAGAGTAGCCAGAAACATCAAAACACCTCACTGAACAGAGTGCAGCGTCAGATCCCCCCACCAAGTGCTCAAGAGCACAACATTCGTACACCACCTTCAAATCCCTAATCTGACACAAAGGTTGTTCCTCTGTAATTCTCCAGTCTGGGTACTGACTGTACTCATTGATTATTTATTATTACAGGCAAGAGCAGCTGAAAAGGTGCAATTTTCTCAGGACTCTTTTTTTAGCTGACCTAAATTCAACCAAAGTATAAAAGTTTTGCTTCAGCTTGAAAGCCCCTTCTCGAGACATGAGGCCTATTTTCAAAGCCATGACGATGAGAGGTATGAACACGAGGTATAAGAGAAGCCACGGTTGTTAGGGGAGCAACAATACTGATGTCCAACAGTGAAATACAATTAAGAACTGAACTGGTCAAATGTTCTACTTGAGATTTAGTTTACATTGCATGTCAAAAAAACAACAAGTGATACAGATTGGAAAAATGTACATTGCTTGACATGGTTTTATTGCAGATTTAATTAATTAATAAACGAAAATGATTTCTATTTTCAGAGGTGTGTCGTGCATGTCAGGTAAAGCTCTGATGTGCTAACTATATCATCCATTGGCGGTGTGCATAGCTAGTGATGTGAATATAGGTTAACTTGTGTTGTCAGTGCATAGTTTCCCCGTTCTCTTTCAAACCTTGTGAGGAGACTATCAAGTAGCATAGCACATGCTACACACACACACACACACACACTCTTTGTCATACCTCTGAAGTATTCATTTATTCATTGCAGTGCTAAAATTAAGACTTAAAAAAAAAAAAAAGGTGCGTGCAATATTTATTTCCTTTAGATACTGTATCAGTTGTATAATGGTTCAGGTAAATAGGTGCTAGTGTGTTATGTAAATATCAGATTCCAAAAATTACCAACAGACCATTCAATAAATCAATAATTTACCCAACGAACCATCCAATCAGTCCGATGACATGATGGATCAGTCGATCAAGTCAATCAACCAACCAACCAACCAACCAACCAACCAACCAACCAACCAATCAGTCCGATGACACTAGCCAACCAGCGTTTGAGTTTCTACTTTATAATCTCCTTGTATTGGTTGGATTTGAGGAACCTCCTGTATGAATCTTTCTCCATGAGGGCAAAGACCTGTCTCTGGGCCAGGTCAAAGGTCATAGGAGTCAGTCGGCCCAAGTTCCTTACTGTTACGTCCTTGGTGATGTGGTCAATGTTCACCTGTTGGAGGCAGAGAGTCAGCTGAGCATTAGAATCAAATTACTCATAATGCCTTATAAAGAGTTGGTCCATGTTTCAGTGTATCCTATGTTAGACGGTTTGGGTGTATTTGACGTGTATTAGGTATGTTAGTTATGTGACAAACTGTAGGTAAGTTAACCCCAGAGTACAGTAAAGATATTTACCTTTTCTAGATGCAGTATATAGCATGAATTGTTTTAGAATAAGACATTGCACAGTAATGAATTTTCATGAAATTGTATACTAAAGTATTGTATCGTATTGATCATCATTTCGTAACTCTTCTACGATAAGACTACCTAATCTTACCATTGGACTACCATTGACTGATTACTATGGTAATACCTCTCGAAAACAAACACAGTATTTGTGTAATGTTTGTACAGTCTAGGACCACTGTACTTTGTATAACCTCACGCAGTGGGCCAGGTGTGTAGTACTATAGGGACTGTGTGTAAATACTAATTCCCTGGTCTGGCACATGAATAGATGCTTTGAAGCATTCGTCTCTGTTCTTTACTCAACAAACACACATCCTATTCATATCACGACCCAGTAAAAGCCAATTCTCCCCCAAACACATCCTATTCAGAACACGACCCGGTAAAAGCCAATTCTCCCCCAAACACAATGGTCTTGTGACACTTGAGACTGGCACGTATCCAGTGACCAATATTGACCAGACCAATATTGACAAAGAGTTTCAAAAATAAAGTCCTCTCATCTAATTTGGTGAATTGCGCTCGAGGATTGACATCATGCTCATTGTCATATCATCCCAATGACAAAGTATCAGAAACAGGGTTGTGTTCATTAGGGCACACAACAGAAAAACTTGTAAAAACGTTTTGTAACAGAGAAACAAAATTAGCGCTTCTTATTGGACAACTCCAGATAGTCCCTCCCTATTTCAGTCTATTTTCTTCAGTTTGGTGCCTAACGAACACGACCCTGGAAGAAGGAGAATGAGGACAGACCTCCCACTGGGCTCCGGTCTGTATAAACTCCTTATAAATCCTCCCGGCCTTGGCAGCCATTTTGCCTGCTTCTCTGGTCCTCTTGTAGTCCTCACAGGCTACCCAGAACTCAATGTTCTCCTCGCTGAACTCTGACCTCAGGAAGCCCCTGAAAGTAGCCAGGCCATCTGTTAGGGAGAGGAAGAGGAATACAGTAAAAGTTATCTGATTGAAGTTTACCAAAGTAGAGTCAATGATTGACTGCAACATGGTCTCATTAGAATATGTCAAAATACTGATATTTAACCATTGTATGACTACTGAAACTTACAGCTGTTGGTCAGTACATTGTCCAGGGCCTTCCCCCACTGCGATGCTTCCGCTCGTGATGGTCTTGAAAGAGACATATTTTATTATAATGTTTTGTATAAAGGACATCCACAAAATAGAGATGTGTTTTTATCACTGTGTGTGCACATGTTTGCATGTGTTGTTTTACCAGGTAAGTTGACTGAGAACACGTTCTCATTTACAGCAATGGTCTGGGGAATAGTTACAGGGGGATGAATGAGCCAATTGGACGCTGGGGATGACTAAGTGGCCATGATTGTCAGATTGGGAATTTAGCCAGGACACCAGGTTAACACCCCTACTCTTACGGTAAGTGCCATGGGATCTTTAGTGCGCACAGAGAGTCAGGACATCCATTTAACGTCCCGTCAGAAAAACAGCACCCTACACAGGGCAATGTCCCCAATCACTGCCCTGGGAACTTTTTTTTTAACCAGAGGAAAGAGTGCCTCTTACTGGCCCTCCAACACCACTTCCAGCAGCATCTGGTCTCCCATCCAGGGACCGACCCTGCTTAGCTTCAGAGGCGAGTCAGCAGTGGGATGCAGGGTGGTATGCTGCTGGTGTGTGTGAGTGTGTACATGTGCGTATTTACTCTTAGGCTCATCAAGAAACACAAATAGCAGGTCCCATACCGGGAATAAATTACCTGTACTTTCACCCCTGACTGCGACATTTAATGTTGATTGAAAAACCTTTCATTGTAACATTTAATGTTGATTGAAAAACCTTTCATTGTAACATTTAATGTTGATTGAAAAACCTTTCATTGTATGAACATGGTCATGTGCTGGAGCATTATATTTCTACATTGTCAAAAAGCACTATTTTTCTATATGCGTAGAAAGTACATGGATGTGCGTGTCGCAGTCAGGGGTGAAAGTAGATTTTAATATTTTGAGCTTTTACAATAACAAATTATTCTCTAGGGCAGAGGAGTCGCCCCTGAAAAAAATATATATAAACCCCCAAAATATAAGAGAACAGATTTTTGTATGGGACAATAGTTGTAATGAATTTAAGGATATTTGTTGATGTAAAAATCGAAATGTACAGATGTTAAGGTTGTCTCATAAGATTTGGGGTGGGGTGGGGTCGTGAGAAATTATTGTGAAATAAATGGGTTCCTCCCGAAAAAGTTTGAAAACCACTGTTCCATGGAAACATATTTTTATAGGGCACAACACCTTGCATGCTTTGTCTGTGCTGAAGAGTACACTTCAGCATAAAGGTGTGTCTGGCCGTGTCTGAATACCCTTATTTGAGTTCTAATTAGTAGGCATTTTGGGAATGTGAAAAGTTGTATATTATGTGAAATTACAAAAATGTAGTATGCTTTAAATGCCAGGATGTCATACTCATGTTGTTTTTTCATCTAGTAGAACTCGCTGCACACTATTAAGGGAGAAGAGAATCTCCTTTCAAGACCCATGTGTGTTTGACAACAGCTGAAAATCACACAAGGTGCCGCGCCGTACCAAAATGAACGAATGTCTGGAATAAACGCAATTGCACATTAGATTATGCATTCTCAGCATGGATGAGCCTAGTATGTTGATATTTTTTGCTTACTGCATTAATTTTTATTAAACAGTGTGTTATTGTCACGACTTCCTCCGAAGCTGCCTCCTCTCCTTGTTCGGGCAGGCTTCGGCATTCGTCGTCACCGGCCTTCTAGCCACTGCCGCTCCTCATCTCATCAACAAAAAAAAAAAATAATAATAATAATTCAATTTGTTTTGTCTTGTTTATTACACACACCTGGTTCGTCTCCCCTCATCAGTACCTGTATAAGTGTTCCCTCTGCCCCCTTATCTTTGTGTGTGATTGTTTATTGTGGAGGTTAGTTTAGCTCGGTGGAGCTCCTTGTATTTTGTATCACCGGGATATTTCACCCGTGTGCCTTGTTGTTTCCCAGTGCGCCTGATTTACGCACTGGAGTGTTTGACGCGTTGCTGCGTACCGCTGTGTTTTTCTGTGATTTACCCTCCTGTGCCTGACTCCTTCAAAATCACTCACCACAGTTATAAAGAGTATGTAGTACAAAAAGGACACAGTATATTAGAAATCTAGGCAAGATAGATTTCGGACATGGCCAATTACTTTCTTTGAAAGTTTTTCCATTACCTGTCATGCTTTGGAGGCATCTCCAGACATCTCTCAGGTGTCTTCTGAAAGGGGAGGACATTCTCAGGTTTCTTCTGAAAGGGGAGGACATTCTCAGTGTGTTCATGGTCTGGCCTATGGAGCAGGGTACCAAACTTCACCTTGATATGTTTAGCCCTAGAAGAAGAAGGAGAATGTGACAATCTGGCATACCATCCACTCAAAGACTTATCTGACATTTGAATCAGAATCACATCAGTCTTAGTAAGAAGTTTCTCAACATTTGAAAATTCTAAAAAGTGAATGGGGAACATTTGAAAAGCACACATATACTGTACATTTCCAGGCAAACATTAGGAGTCAGGAGAACAAGTGTTAAAGCTTTAAACAAGTGTTGAAACAACAAGTGTTAAACAACAAGTGTTTAAACAACAAGTGTTAAACAAGTGTTAAAGAACAGTTGAACAAGTAAAAAGGGTTTAAGTGTTAAACTGTTGACATGATTTTAACAACACTGATAAAGCACCATGTAATGGCACTGCAGAGGTAAAAACCTATATAGAATTAACAAATCATCAATCAAACAGAGCCCTAAGATTCAACTGCTGTATCGGAAAGAGGTGGAGTATGTAATTACATAGCCTACAAGTGAACATTCATTAAGAATATATAGTATTTAGACAGAATGCTCACATAGAACTGCACTCACCTCTCAAGACATGTTTGCTGTAAGGCCGCAAACCCTTTACACATTTTCTAAGCCTTCCACTATTAGTTTGTCCGTAGAATCACTTTTAGCATAACTCTGTGAAAAGGTCTGTCCTCAAGTTCTGCTGTCGCCTACAAGAATGTAATGCTATATAGAGACAGCTTATTGGCCAAATGCCTAAAGAAGAGGAGACGGGCCAGCCAATCAGACAGTGTGTTGGAAGTCCAGCTGAAGGCTCAGAGAGTTGGAGAGAAGAGACATCTGGGTGGCTCATGTTGACATCACATTAGTTATATCCCAAAGGACATGAACTCATGTAAGGGGTCATTCACCCTCTGGGATCTGGTCACGCAAATATGCCACAAAATCCTGTAAAAACATAACTTGCTTTGATTTAGTTTTGTAAGTTTTATTAAAACATGTTAACTATGACATGTTCACAAATATATTTCATTTAAATGTCCACCCTTATCATAAATACAAAAACTGTATGACATATTTTTCAACTTTTGTACAGAAACAAGCAATCTGAATTTAACCCTTCCCTCAATGCTACAGTCAACCCTTCCCTCAATGCCACAGTCAACCCTTCCCTCAATGCTACAGTCAAACCTTCCCTCAATGCTACAGTCAAACCTTCCCTCAATGCTACAGTCAAACCTTCCCTCAATGCTACAGTCAAACCTTCCCTCAATGCTACAGTCAAACCTTCCCTCAATGCTACAGTCAAAACTTCCCTCAATGCTACAGTCAAACCTTCCCTCAATGCTACAGTCAAACCTTCCCTCAATGCTACAGTCAAACCTTCCCTCAATGCTACAGTCAAACCTTCCCTCAATGCTACAGTCAAACCTTCCCTCAATGCTACAGTCAAACCTTCCCTCAATGCTACAGTCAAACCTTCCCTCAATGCTACAGTCAAACCTTCCCTCAATGCTACAGCCAATCCTTCCCTCAATGCCACAGTCAATGTTACAGTCAACCCTTCCCTCAATGCTACAGCAACCCTTCCCTCAATGCTACAGCAAACCTCTGTAATTTAACAATGTAAGTAAATTATCTTTCATATGAGTATTTCAAGGATAACACATTTCCAGTACCTGATTAGCTTCTGGAGATTACCTTCTGGAACCTATAGTCATTCCAGTAAGTCATTTTAAGCGTTGGGAGGGGAATCACCCTCCAAATGTAAATGTCATACTGTGAGTAATATGAACCTAATTAAAACCAGACGCCAGAGCAGAGGCAACCACCGCTACATATTCAGTAATGAGGCAAACATTAACAATGTATTATGAGGATCCCTTACGATAGGGACTGTTTATAGCAAAACATAGACTTTTCTTACAATCGGCTTGGTTCCCCTAGTAACCTGGTTACCATGACGGCTCTGTGTTTTGAACAGCTCTCTCCACATCAAATACATCGTTTATTTTCTTAAAGGGAAGGGCGAAATCATGAAGCACCACTTGTGAGCCAGCTAGGTATTAAAAATGTCCAGTGTGTGTCTCTGTTGTATCGATCAAGCCCTCACTATAATGGGCTTGTTCATCTTTTTGTGATCTTTTTTTATTTTATTTTTGTACCTGCTTCAGATTTACTGGCAACTCATCAAAGTCCACCATGCGGTAACACTTTATTTTATAGATTGTGTGTTCACCATTTATTAATCATTACTCCCACATTTATAAACCATTTACTAATCCCTAATCTAAAGTGATAGATATATATACAATTTATAAATACTTTATAAATGTTTTGAGTGACCAGTGTAATTTCTCACAAAAAGATGGGCATGCAATTGGTAGACATTCCATCTGTACCTGGTAAAAGAATAAGCACACAACACAGGATGTTTAAGGATCTATCTATCTGTCTGTCTGTCTATATACATGACCAGTCAAAGGTTTGGACACACCTACTCATTCAAGGGTTTTTCTTTATTTTTACTATTTTTTACATTGTAGAATAATAGTGTAGACATCAAAACTATAAAATAACACATATGGAATCATATAGTAACCAAATAAAGTGTTAAACAAATCAAAATATATTTTATATTTGAGATTCTTCAAATAGCCACCCTTTGCCTTGATGACAGCTTTGCACACTCTTGGCATTCTCTCAACCAGCTTCATGAAGTAATCACATGGAATGCATAAAAATTAACAGCTGTGCCTTCTTAAAAGTTAATTTGTGGAATGTATTTCCTTCTTAACGCATTTGAGCCAATCAGTTGTG